ACTCGTGCGCACAATTTAAGAACAAATCTGTGCGTACGAACGGTTCTTGCATGAGGCCCAATGTCCTTGTGTACACTCTGAAACACTTATTTACCTTAATATTCCATCTAAATGTGTGCAGGCTACCCTGGTCTTAAGGGTCTCTTTGGATTACATGGACTGAAAGGACAAAAGGGAGTAACGGGAACACCAGGTAATAAATTAAAGATAATGAAAAATGAGTCTTCTGTGCACTGCTGGAATTTTTAAATGAGCTGTTCTGATACAGAATGTTCTCGATATGTTCACATCAGGTCTGGATCTTACTGGACCTGCTGGGGAGACGGGAGTTAAAGGACAAAAGGGGGAGAGTGGTGAACTCAACACTCAGTCTGGTACTCCAGGCTTTGTGGGTTTAAAAGGTTTTCAGGGGGTTCAAGGTGAAATGCTACTTTTATCCATAGACCCACCAAAGGCCAAAAAATAAATAAATCCATTACAGAAACACATTTTTACTTTCCTAATTCTTGACATGTTTATGGTTTTGTTTGTTCAGGTGACTTTGGCCAACCTGGACTGCCAGGTTTCCCAGGTCTGGTAGGACCAGATGGGACCTCAGACAAACCAGGATTTAGTGGGGATCCTGGATTTCCAGGAACACCAGGATCCCAAGGTAGATAAAAAAAAACATTTTACAAAGCTGTTCGATATATACTGTACTTTATTTGATGGCGTTGTATGGAATATTACTGTGACCCCTGCACTCGAAGTGTAATCGGGAGTCATATTGTTTTCATACTGTTTTTTTTTTTCAGTGATTTTTGGTCATCCGTAGAACAAAAACGGCTGCACCATTCAACATGAAATTTGGCAGGACTGTATATGAGTCCGACCTACACTGCACAGCCAACAGTTTTACGATAGACCCCATATTTGAGGAGGGGGCTCCTTTCAAAGAGGGGGTGTCTGGGCAATGCCAAATGCTTATAACTCAGAAACTGTTCAACATAGGAGCTTCAGATTTCTTTTGTTGTTTAGCTCTGATGAAGCTCTATCCATCAGGCCCACCAATCAGTGCCCCCACCCCCCCGGACCCCCAATTTATCTGAAAAAGGGGTATCTAGACATACAAAAATGGTTATTGCTCAAAAACTGTTAAGCATAGGAACTTCAGATTTTCTTTGGTTGTTTAGCTCTGATGAGAGGCTATCCATCAGGTCAACCAATGCCGCC